GATAACATTGATACTTGATTTGAAGACTCTTTCCCTCTCTGTTGGTATTTAGAGTAACTACTGCTCTGAGTATAGGTCAGGTTCATAATGAAGATGTATCTTCTGTCACTGTAGCTGTTCCAGTCTGCTTGTCCTTTCTAGTGGGAAGCTGATTTGGAAAAATTGATGGTTGCCAAAACTGGAGAGCAGAACACATTCAGTGGGGCATAGTCGACTGCCATCTTTGAGCAGAGCATCGTTGTTTTCAATGGAGATTTGGTCAAGAGATTTGGTTGCTTTGTAACAACACCCATGCTGCCCAAGTTTTCTAAGAAAAAGATTTAAGTTTCTAGTAGGTCACAGACTCGTAGTTTAACCTGTTCCACTTATCAGCTGGAGTCCCAGTGTGGCATTGTGGGTTCATGCGCCAGACTGCAAAGCCATTTGAACTGCTAGGTCAGCTGTTCAATCTCACCAGCTGCTCCTCAGAAACCCTATACAGGGTTGCTATGGGTCGGAACTGACTCAACAGCACTTAACAACAACAAGTTATCAGCTAGACTTACCCACATTTTACAAATTTAGATAGTTTGAATTTTGCCTGCTGGCCATGACTGAATTGGGAAAAATGACTTCAAAGCCCTGCTTTCAACACAGGAAGCCTTGATCATGTCTTCCACCTTGTGCTTAGTTGGGGCACTTTTTGGGGGTCTATTTTAGGATCAGCACAGGATTGTGAACCACAAGGTCAGCATTTCAAACCTATCAGCTGCTCCTTGGAAAGCCTATACTAGGTAGCTATGAGTCGAAGCTGACTAGACGGCACTTAACAACAATTTTAAACCCTAATGAGGCCCTGACTAGATTGTTGTCTTCCGACTCTATGGTCTCTCTAGAGCTTAACCCAGTGACTGAGCCATCTTCTGGTATGTCATTAGGATTTCAACCAGAGGTAATTAAACCCTTTAAAGGTGGAAAACAAATTCCAAAGCACGTGTCCTTTGATAGTCTTAGTATCTGAAACGCTTCTCTGTTTTCCTATAGAAAGTTAGACAAAATCAATTTTGAGCCAAAATAAATGTAAAGGAGCTGTCCAGAGGGAGCCCCCAAGCAAGAGGGGAAGATGGTTATCTGTTGCAGAAGAGATTGTCTTCTCTTCTTCACTGTGTGTAGTACTTACACTAAGTTTTGGTTTTCCCTGCATCTTTCTCTTTTTCCCACCCTCACCCAAGCGCCCCGCACTGCTCAGTTTTTCTGCTTCCAGGGAGCAGAGCGTACTTCCTGTTCCCTACTTGGACTCTTTCTGACTTTGATGAGAGGTGCACACTGCCTGTAGGAAGGGCAGCTTCTCTGAGGGCTGGGTGCCTGCAGATAACGCAGGAAAGGTGACACATTCACAGGAAATACCTCAACAAAGAAAGCGAGGAAACCATTTTTTCCCCCCACAACCTTCTGACATCCTTTTCCTCCCATCTTTGTCTCTGGAGCCAACATGAGGGTGGCTGTACTGTGGGAGATTGCAGCACCTCTGGTGGGTGAGGAAGCTGCCTGAAAATTCCATCTCTAAGGAGACAGCCTGTTCTATTTTAGCAATTCCAGAATTAGAAATTCTCACCGAACAGTGGGCCTAGAACTGGTGGTGTAGAGCCCACCAGCTGGCCTTTCCATTTTCTCTCACTGAGGGCATTGCTTCTGTGGGGCATCTGCTTGAGTCAAAGTTATATAAGCACTAAGACCTGTCCTTGAAAGTATTTGTTGTTGTTAAGTGCCTTTGAATCGATTCCAACTCATAGCGACCCTGTATAGGGTTTCCAAGAAGCAGCTGGTGGGTTTGAACCCTCAGCCTACTAGTTAGTAGTCCATTGCTTACCCTACAGCACACCTATTTGGAAATGTCCACTGTTTACAATGAGAAGGTAGAAAAATGTCCTGCGGGAGGGTGGATCTAAGCCAGTTGGATTTTACTTATTTGTGGTCCCCACTCTGCTTTATCTGTCTCTCTCAAGTTTTCCCGCCTTGCTGGAAAACATAATGTTCTGAAGTGCTGCATTTTATGGTGTCTGTATCCTTGATACATATTCACCCAGAAAGCTTTTGATGTTTCCATAGTGAGCATTCCCTAAAGGCTCTAAGGAAAGCTTGTTTGGGTTTCCATCAGGTGAACAGTTGCTTTGTGAAGCCAGCACAGTGATGAAATACATCCAGGAAGACTCATGTCAGCGTGGCATCTGTGGGAAGCTTGTCTGCACAGACTTCAAGATTGCTTTCTTGGGTGATGATGAATCTGCATTGGATACTGATGTATGTATGACTGCTTGACCCTGTATCGGGAAAACAGTGCAATTGTGGCTCCGCTAACCTTTCTCCCCAGCTTCTTACTCACTCCCAAAACGCACGAACACAAAAGACAAGCATCTTTCTCATCACTGATCCTGCCTCCTATACCGCAGAAAGTCCTGTTTCAAAAAAAATAGTTTATTGTGAATTGAGTAATGGTTTACAGAGCAAATCAGGTTTCCATTCAACAATTCATAAACATTTTGTTTCCTGTCACTGACTGCAGTCCCCACAAAGAACTACCACTTATCCCACTTCCTCACTGTATTTCCTGTTTTCACTCCTCCTTTCCTAACCCTTCAGAAGTCTGTCCTTGAGCCATTGCTCCCATTGTGACAGAATGTCTTTTCAGTGGCCAGGCTGCTCTATTATTTCCCACCTGTGCCTTGGGTCACGCTGCCTCGTGTTTGGTGTCAGAGATTGGCACTGTCCATGTATTATTTCTTTCTGGATCTCAGTACAGTGTAGATCACTCATTGGGAAAACTTCTCCCCAAACCTATTAGTTCCCCATACTTTCTCTATACCAAGTTCTTCCTCAGAATTCAGGAACTGACTTCAATAAGGAAACTGATGCTGAACGCAGCACTTGAATTTAGGTATACTGTATGTTCACTCAGTCTGAAGCTGGGAGCAGTATCCTTGGGAGACTCCACCTCTGTTACAAAGAGTAAGCAGCAGGGACCAAGTGAGACCAGGACTGCCCACACCGGTGAAGGAGTAGGACGCAGGAATGGAAACAGGCGAGGCACTTCCTGACCACCCCTGCTTCTTAAACAGCGGCACCACTGTTGCCTCAGAGTGCTGTCCACGGTAGGGGCTTGGCTCGCATCTTGCACACAGAAAGCATTTGTCAGACTCATGAATGACCCAGTGTTTTCTACCTAAAGCCAGTCACCTGTCTGCATTAATGTGGAAAATGTTCCCCTGCTGCCTCTCACTTGTCAGCACCTCGCAGACTGATGGTGTGTGGAATGGGCAGTTGTCCTGGGAGCACCCCAGACATGGCATCTTCTGCCTCACTTGACAAATGAGTGCTCAAGACCTTTGCTCACACACTTTGTCCTTCGCTCCGGGACATGTCCTTCCTCGCTTTCCCTTAACATGCGAGCAGAGAATGAAGTGCTCTCCTTGCAAATGTCTGACTGCACAGAGAGGCTTACAGCTGTTTTCTTTTTGAATTTTTTAGGAAAGTCAATTTAAGAATAAAGTTATAGGAGAAAATGACATCACACTTCCCTGTGTTGATCAGATTTATGGTGGTAAGTCTCTTTTCTTCTCAGGGCTGTTGTCATCATCGGAAAGGCTAGCTGATCATAATGGTGATGTTTTTATGGTCCATTATGAAAGAACCACTTGCTGTCAAGCTGATTTGGACTCACGGCAGCCCCGTATGTGTTAGAGGACAGCTGTGCTTTCTAGGCTTTTCATTGGCTGATTTTTCAGAAGTAGGTGGCCAGACCTATTTTCTGAGGCACCTCTGGGTAGAGTTGAACCTTCAGCCTTTTGGTTCATACCCACATGCATTAATTGTTTGTACCATTTAGGGACTCACTACAAATTTTTTCCTTACGTACATTATCTTGTTTAACTCAGTTTTATAGCTGAGGAAATTGGCAAGTGACTTCTTTGAAATCACTTAGCCTGGGAAGCTTGGATTTGAACTTGGAACCTGTTCTTTCAAATACTCCATAATACCATTATGTGTTCGATGTTGATTATACCTCTACTGGCAGAGTTAGCTGTTCAGGCTTTACAGGTTAGCTTCATAAAGGCCTGTTGTATTGCGGTAGGATGTCTTTACTGTTGACAACATAAGCCCTCTCTCTACTTCACGTCACTATTTTTGTATCTAGGGCATTCTTGGAGTCCTGGTGTGGCATTGTCGTATATACACTGGACGGCTAGCCACAAGGTTGGAGGTCCAAACCCACCAGCTACTCTTGAAAACACTATACAGGGTCACTGTGAGTTGGAACTGATTCAGTGGCACTTAACAGTAACAACAAGGTGTTTTTTTTCAGAAGCTGTTAGCCATTTATAATGTTCCCAACACTAGCAGCATTAAGTGTGTCCAGACTCTGGGGGAAAGAGGGCAGTGTCAGAAGGAGACCTAGCCATAAGCTCAAGAGTTCACTGTCCCAAGACAGCATGTCCTGGTGGTCTACCTGGTGGTCCGTTGTTTGTTAATCCCAGGTTCACGTCAGTGGATTCAGTTCTGCCAACAGTGACCAGCCTGTTGTGGCCTTGTACTTAATCCACAGGCACAAAGAACCCTAAGTTGCTCTCAGAGAGTCAGGGCCCCTGCTGGGTGGGACTGAGTTCCTGCAATGGTTATTTGATGGTAGACAGTGCCTTTCACTTTTCAGAAGTATCCATAGACGTTTGTAGTCAACCTTGCTTCTTAAGCATTGCCTTGTTGCCTTACAACGTAATTTCCCTTCCTGATTTAACCATTGATCTTTTTTGATCAGTGTTTGATGAGAAAAAAAAAGTTCTCTTTGGACAACTGAAGAAATATCCTGAGAAGCTCATCATCCATTGCAAAGACCTCCGAGTGTTCCACTTCTGTCTGAGGTACACCAAGGAAGAGGAAGTCAAAAGGGTAACTAGTTGCATGTGTTTTTACATTTTATTTCCCATCAGGTTTTCCCCGCTAACTCTAGTTTCTGCTTATATAACCCGAGGCTAAGAGAACCTTTACTTCTGTAAAGTTAAAACTGGTTAGAATCCCATGTGCCTTGATTAAAGCATGAGAGGCAGTTTGGTATATGTGTGTTACTTTAGCACCTGCTACCTTTAATGCTCCGATTCATCGTGTTTTTATTCCCAGAGTCCCTCAAAGGTGGGAGGTGGTAAGCCAGATCACGAAGCAAGGTAGAAAGTTAAAGGTGGAACAACTATGTACAAGGATCCCTCTTCCCCAACCTCTGATGCCCTCTCCAAAAGTCAGTAGCGGTGGTCCCCAAGTCCTATGAATAAATACGCGTTTATTCCTGGGAGTAGTGTCGGGTGGGGTGTATCCAGGTCAGAGGAACAAAGCCAAATCATCCATTGAGGCCTGGGCTTTGGTAGACTCCATCAGCTGAAGCTCATGATGCCCAGAGGTGTTTAATGAGGTGAACTCAGAAAGTGGCTGTACCAGCGGATGTTCATTGTAACTTCCAAGACTTCTCTTAGCAAAGATACCAGACATTTCAAGTGGCCAGTGTCAAGCTAAACACACCGGGGTGAAACTAGCAAGAGGCCAGCCCATTTCTATTCTCTTTGGTTGCAGAGAGCTTGGCACACTTACAGGTAATTTTCTTTGAGACAGTGTAGTCGTCTAGTTAGAATTATAAACTTGAGTCTCATATCTGTTCTGAATTTCAAGGGAAATTTTCTGAGAAGCCCAAAGCCCGTTTTAGATAATGGATTTAGTCATGTATCCACACCAAATGTACTTTGTTTGGCACGTCAAATGAAAAACACAGTAGATTGATTAATTTTCCTAATTGTTGGAAGAAGGTTCTAAAGACCACCACAAGTAGGATGGAAAGCTAAGTGCCTTGGCTATTATCTGATATTGACTAGAAGTCTCTGATATGTCATATTTCTGGAGTATCTGGTTTATAGCACGTAAGTTTCCAACCACCTGGCTGAGAAGTTAGATTACATTTTTAAAATTTCCCTCGAAATCACCAGTCTGTTCTGACTCATAATAACCCTGTATAGGGGTTCTAAGGAGCCACTGGTGAGATTGAGCCAACGACCTTGCAACTCAAACCAACCTTGTGGTCCAGTGCTTATCTTACAGTGCCTCTTTATTAAGCATTGTTCCAAGATAATAACTTCAAGGCTACAGACAGACCTCAACAAGAATTAATGTTGTGTATCTGGTAGCGTAGTGGTTACGAATTGGCCTGCGAACCGCAGGGTCAGCAGTTCAAAACTACTAGCTGTTCCGCGGGAGAAAGATGAGGCTTTCTGCTCTCATAATGATTTACAGCCTCAGAAACCCTGTACAGGGTCGCTATGGATCAGAACCGACTCCATGGCACATAACCAATAGGGTCCACATTAGCATGACAAAATGTAGACAGTTTTGCTCTTCTCTTTTAGCGTGTGTCTGTTAAAATCATAGCTGTGTAAATCTGGAGAGATTAGTTCATGACTTAACATTGGTTGGTTCTTTTCTAGATTGTCAGTGGCATAATTCATCATACCCAGGCTCCTAAACTACTTAAGCGATTGTTTCTATTTTCCTATGCAACCGCTGCACAAAATAGTACAGGTAAGGGGCTACTGTGTCTTGATTTCTCTTTTATTATTTTATTGAAGTTTAAAATACACATATATTATAAAATATATGTTGTTATGAAGTGCTGTCAAATCGGTTCTGACTCATAACAACCTTGTAGAGGGTTTCTGAGGAGCGGCTGGTGAATTTGAGCTGCCGACCTTACAGTTCAAACTGACCTTGCAGTCAAATGCAGTGCCCACTGTGCCACACCAGGACATCCATATATTTGTATATGTGTGTGTATATGTAAAGAAAACATATACCAGTTCAACAATTTTATGTGTATAATTCAGTGGCATTGATGATGTGCATCATGTTGTACAACCATTACCACTATCCATTATCACTAATGATTCCACCACTATTAACAGAAACTCAGTGCCCCATAAGCAAGGCTCCCTCTTTCCCCTTCCTCTGATTAATAAATTTTGGTCTCTACACATTTGTCTCTACCATTCGTCTGTCAGTTTGTCTTACTGCTGTGGCTTGCGTGTTGCTGTGATGCTGGAAGTATTTGAAATACCAGTAGAGTCACCCATGGTGGACAGGTTTCAATGGAGCTTCCAGACTGAAAACCTTATGAATTTAAAAAAATCCAAAAAAACCTTATGAATAGCAAGCAGCAAAACATTGTCAGATATAGTACCAGGAAATGGAACTTTTATAAGTAGCAGCAGAACATTTACCAGGTATAGTGCCAGTAGATGAGCCCCTCAGGTTGGAAGGCACTCAGAATATGAGTAGGAAGAACTGCTTACTCAAAGTAGAGTTGACCATAATGATGTGAACTGAGCAAAGCTTTTGGGACCTTCATTTGCTGATGGGGCACACCTCAAAATGCTGGGAATGACAAATTGCAGAGGAATGGCATCACATTCATCATCAAAAAGAACATTTTATGTAGAAAAAGCAGTAACAAAAGAGATGATGGCAGAGACAGTGGCATGGAGAAAGAGAGCAGCTGCAGGCTCCAGGCCCATGGACTGAGTAAGTCTGTGTACCTGCCGGCAGGAGGATAGCTTACAGAATGTGCCCTTTGGACATTTAAATGAATATGTAGAATGTTTTGTGTGTGTGCATCAAATATTTCTGCTTTGTTCATTTGTGAAATCTAAGCTGTAAATGGGGAACCACAAGGAGGAAGTAGGATGACTGTTGTTGCAGGGAGGGGACTGTAGTCCTTAGGATGAAATAAAGTGCATAATTTGTTGATTGTAAAGCTGATGATCTTGTCTATAAACCTTCACAATAAATAGTTAAAATAAAAAACAAAAAAAACACCACGAAGACATTTTGAAATGAAAAAGAAGAACATTTCAAGATCTGTCTTGAAGTACCATGCTGTTTGTGACAGAATAATTTCCATATGCCTACAAGGAAAACCAGGTAATACCCCTATTATTCAAATTTACAGACCAACTTACTAATGCAAATGATGATGAATTCTACCAACTTCTTCTGTCAAAAATGGATGAAACATGCAAACCAGATACATTGACAGCATCTAACAAAAGCAACAGTACATTTGCATACTCTAGCTATTTTATATGTTGTTGCTCTTGTTAGGGGTTGTCAGGTTGGTTCTGACTCATAGCGATCCTGTGGACTACAGAGCGAAATACTGCCCAGTCTTACGTCATGCTTCTAATTGTTCTTACGTGTGAGCCTATTGTTGCAGCCATCAAGTATAATCTTTTTCTACAGAGTATAAGAAATGAAGTCTTGCCATTCACTCTTCTAAGGAGCATTCTGACTGTACTTCTTCCAAGACAAATTTGTTTGTTCTTCTGGCAGTTTGTGCTTTCAGTATTCTTCTCCAACACCATAATGCAAATAAATTGATTTTATTCCTCTTTCTTATTCATTGTCCAGCTTTCATATGCATATGAGGCCATTGAAAATACCATGGCTTCCATCAGGTGCACCTTAGTCTTCAAAGTGACATTTTGCACTTTAACATTTTGAAGGGGTTTTTTTGCAGCAGATTTACCAAATGCAGTAACATTGTTTTCGTTCTTAACTAGTATTCCTGTGAACATTGATTGTGGATCCAGGCAAAATGAAATCTTTGACAACCTCAATCTTTTCTCTTTATCAGGATGTTAATTATTGATCCGTTCACTCAGATATTTCTTATACGTAGGATTATATAATATTTTTTTCTTTTGTGACTGAGTTCTCATGGCATAATATTTTCAAGGTTCACCCATACATGTATCACCATATATCAGGACTTGATTTCTCTTTGCTTTGTTAAAACTTTTTATTGTGATTTGAGTGAAGATTTACAGAGAATATCATCAATTTTATATTAAACAAATCCTATACTTTGTTTCACCTCAATGATTGCAGTCTCTTTCATACAACAACAGTTCTCCCGCTGTCTCCCTGTGGTTCCTACTTCCATTCCATCCACCTTTCCATCCCTTCTCAATTTTGTCCTTAGGGAAAAATGAACTTGATTCATTGACCATTCATGGTGAGCATTCCTTACTAATGTTGTTGTCACACACACACATACCCCATATACCTATCACCTGCTTGTTTGAAAATGGGACCACAAGAGTGAGTTCCATTCCAGGCATGAAGGGTGTTTGAGGGTTATAGTCTTGGATTCCTTCAGTCTCTGACCAGCAAGCCCAGTCTTTTCTTTTAATTTGAGATTTGCTTCACATTTTCTCCCACTCTCTCCAGGACCTTAAAATGTGTTCCCTTTCAGAGCAGAGGTAGTGGTAACTGGGCACCATCTAGTTCTTCTGGTCTCAAGTCACGGTGACTGATGTTCACAATGAACTTGGTTCAATGAACTAGTGGATTCCAAGCATCTTCAGATTTACATAACTCTTCTTTCTTTTGGATGTAGAGACCAATGGTTTCAGAACTTCATTTCTTTTTATGGCCAAGTAGTATTTCATTATATGCATATAGAATATTTTGTCTATACAGTTAACTGTGTAGGTTGTTTCTTATCTTCTGGGTTTTAATTTGAGAGTCGGCAGGGCCCTTCCCATTCACCCATTTTTGCTTTTCTGGTTTTGTTTTTCCTTTCCTCTGTCATTTGGTCATTCTTGCCTGGGTATTCACTCAGAAGGTTTCTGGGGGTTTTTTGTTTTGCTTTAACTCTATCATTTAGGTTGTTTGCTTTTTGTGAGATTTTGTGTATTTGCTTCTTATGAAAGATAAAATCAACATAACTGGGAATGTGAGATATAGGATATCAAATTTGAAACAAGTTGAAAATAGCCTTGTTTGTGTCTGAATTCCCTTTTTTACTGAAATACATTTGATTTTATTTCTGAAGGCTCCAGACATGTCTTGTATTCTAGAACGTTTTTAAACAATCAGAGCATGCTTTATAGCAAGCATTTTGTTAGAAATGAAGCAGTTGTGTATTAGAAAGCATAGTAAGAGAAAGCATACATTTCCAATTCAGTTTACTAAAAGGAAAAACATTGTAAGTAAGAAATGTTGGTCGTTTGAATGAGCTATTTGTACTATCTAGCATTAAGGGTCCTGGTGTGTTGCTGTTAACTACACTGGACTGTTAACTATAAGATCAGTAGTTCAGACCCACCAGCCACTCCTTGTAAATCCTCTACAGGGTTGCTACAAGTCAGAACTGACTCAACGCCACTTAAAACAACAATCATTGTAGAGTGTTTTCATAAGTGTGCATTGTCTTCCTCATCCCCCTGGCTTGATTGTCCCCCAGAGTCTGCTCGCTTGCTCCGCCCACTATTCACACCGAGTTGATGGTTAGTGATGCTGTGCGCGTGTGTGCTTTTCGTCAGTTCAGTTGAGTGACTTAGCGAAGACTTCCTGAAAGGTAGAGTTGTCAAGTCCCTCACTGCTCACTTAGGCACTGTGGGGATACGGAGGGTTACAAACTCAGTCATTTCCTGCCCTTTAGTAGCTGAATGGAGGATCAGCACTGGACTGCTAACTGCAAGGCCAGTAGTTCAAAACCACTAGCGGCTCCTCGGAAACCCTTTACATGGCCACTGTGAGTCTGAATGAACTCAACAGCACTTAACAACCAAATGTATGGTGAATTGAGATCTTTGACATTTTTAAGGAGATAATTAAGCAAGGAAAAACAACAAATAATCCATGTGTATCTTATGAAAAACCTGGGAATTAACCTCTGGCATTCAAGGTTGGCTGGCGTTTCACTATGGGTTAATGTGCTGGGCTGCAAGGTCACCTTGAACCACAAGGTCAGCAGTTCAAACTCACCAGGCGCTCCTCAGACCCCCTGTACAGGGTTACTATGAGTCAGAACCAACTTGAAGGCACTTAACAACATTCAAGGTTGGTGGTTCAAACTCACCTGCTGCTCCTTAGAAGCCCTATATTGGATCACTATGTATTGGAACTAATTTGACAGCACTTGACAGTAACAACAGCATTCATAAGAAGAAAGTTCGCTTGTACTTTGGACATGTTGTCAGGAGGGACCAGTCCTAAGAGAAGGACATCATGCTTGGTAAAGGGAAGGGTCAGCAAGACTTCCAACAAGATAGATTGGCACAGTGGCAAAAGCATTGGGCTCAAGTGTAGCAATGATTGTGAGGTTGGCATGGAACAGGACAGTGTTTTAATCTGTTGTGCACAAGGTCGTGATGAGTGGGAATAGACTCAATAGTATCTAACAGTAACAACCACCTAATAGCACCTTACCAAGAAAGAGTGAGCAGACTGAGGGGAACACATGCATTTCAAGGACAGATAAAGGAAAAGGACCCTGGGGTGGGTTTAGAGACGCAGAAGGAAAGCCAGGAAGGAAGATACTAAGTCCAAGAAGGAGATGCTGTTCATCTGAGTCATGATCTACAAATCAAAGAAGACTGGAATTAATAGAGACTCTTGGGCACAGCATTTAGGCAGTCATATATGAGTTTAGCAAGACTTCCAGCGGATTTGGAGACTAGTGGGGGTGGGGGTGGGGTGAGTCCAATTGTGAATTAAGAAGAAAGTGGATACTTAAGAAG